CCCTGCCAAGACTGGGAGAGCCACCTGGCCTGTGGCAGGCCTTTCACATGCCAGGCACCCAGGAAGGGGAGAGTGAGGGAGAGGCGAGGGGGGAGGGGCAGGGGAGCATGAAGAAGGGGAGGACGAGGGGGAGGGGGAGGAGAGGGGCGCTTACCCAGCACGCGGCGGTTGAAGTAGTCGGGGAGCATGCGCTCGCACACCGTGACCAGCAGCCAGAAGGCGTCCTCCTCGGTGGCGTAGAGCAGCAGCACGGAGGCCAGGATGTTCATGGACTGCGGGCCACAGGGGGTGTTACTGAGCGGACCACATGGGCCTCAGACATTAAAGCGCACATGTCCAAATGCCCTACGACTCAGCATCAGGGCGCCCACCCCCCATGCCTGGCGGTGGGATGACTGCCTGTCTGTCAGTGTGGTCAGCCCACCGTCTCGGTCCCAGCGGTGGTCAGCCCGCCTTCTCAGTCCCCGCGGTGGTCAGCCCGCCGTCTCGGTCCCCGCGGTGGTCAGCCCGCCATCTCGGTCCCCGCGGTGGTCAGCCCGCCATCTTGGTCCCCGCGGTGGTCAGCCCGCCGTCTTGGTCCCCGCGGTGGTCAGCCCGCCGTCTCGGTCCCCGTGGTGGTCAGCCCCATGGCTTGCCCACTGTCTCAGTCCCCTGCCCTGGTCACCCTGTGGTCAGCCCGTGGTCGCCCCACCATCTCGGTCCCCTGGGCAGTGCAGGACCCGCTGTGGTGCCCTCAGGCCCAGACTGAACTGCCTGTTCCCGTGTTCCCATCACACAGCCACACACTGCAGCTATGATCTTTAAGATCTCGCATCTGAATGTCAGAAGCTTCGCTAGCCCTGCGTGGAGGGCCTGCTGGGGGTTCCGTGTGTCTGCACCATGGAAGCCCAACAAGCTCGAGTCCTCAGGCAGCATTGGCGTTGTCCACCGCCCTGAGGACGTGAGCGCCCACACACCATTTCCTCCTCAAAGCACCACCATGTTAAAGCTGACCCTGAATGTTGCAGAGGGAAAGACCGTGCTGCCAGCAGGCTGCTCCGCACCAGAGGCAGGAGGCTGCCCAGCCTGCCCGCCGGGGCTCGGCCCAGAGGTGCTCAGGCCTGGGCACCAGTCTGACCTGGCAAGCAGCCTGCCTGCACAGGGCGCCTTCTCTGCCTTCCTGACACCTTCTCTGGGGCAGAGCCTTCCCAAGACAGTGCTGGTCCCAAGGCCGAACACAGACAGAAGCCCGGGGCCAGCACCGTGTGGACTGAGAGCCTGCCCCCGGCACCTCACCTGGCAGTACCCGATCCTGGGGTTGCGGTGGGCGTAGGCTGTCAGGACCCTCCTCAGAGCGGCGATGCCCGTCTCGGTCTGGAAGGCGGGGTGCTCCGGCAGGGACCGGTGCAGGTCCCGCTCGATCTCCTCCGTGGCCAGGCAGCAATTCCCCAGGGACTCCTCTACCAGGCGCCCGTAGTAGCCAGGATTCAAGGCGAGGTCGGTTATGGCATCTGGTGATGAAAGGTGTTTCAGGGAGGCGGGTACCCGGGACAGCGTCCGCGGGCACAAGACTTGCCCTGCCGGTGAACCTCAGCGGGTCTCCTGAATATTTTGAGACTACACAGAACCAAAATGACTTCATTTCTGCCCAGAACAAAGAGTATGGCCTTTCTAAGAATAACCACATATACAGGGCAAAAAGTTCATACTGTAAGTGATTAATGTGCTCCTCTAAGCTGTACTCCCTAGTGACAGAAAGAGGGAATGTGTGCGTGCACACACATGCATACTTTCACAGACACACACACAACGTTCATACATTAACTCAACAAGAAAGAATTGAGTACCCACGTGCCAACAGGAGAAGGTGCGACTACAGTGA